CGAATCCGAGCTGAGAGAATCCAGAAAGAGAAACAGGAAATTAGTTGCCCCCTTAATAGCAGCCCTGCTTTACCCTCTCCCTCTCTTATTTTCTTCCTCTTTTTCTCTCTCCATCCCTCAGGGAGGTTGGGTAACAGCCAATCTCATTGAAAGGCAGATCAATAAAGAGATATATTGTCATCTCGGTGTGCCACCCTCTTAATCAATTAATCTATAATAGAATCCATTCACTGGAGCCTCTTAAAGGGGCCCGTCCTCCCATTACCAGCTATGGGTCAGAAAAGGTGCAGACATATAGGGGTCTCATTACTAGTAATGGGGGGGAAACTGGAATAGGTTCAAATGCCTGGCTATAGATACAGGTGATACGCATTTAATGGCATTTCTAAGATCCAGTCCTTATGTTTTCACCAAGAATGGGCCAGCTACCGAGATTACAAGCACACAGTCCTAATGAGTTATTATCCATGCTCTACTGCATCATCAGATATAGGGACACATGCATTAGACTGCATATGACTCTCAAACTGTACAGGGTGCTTACTGCACAGTTGATGCTATCTTAAAACTCAGTTTTTTCTGCTTCAGTCTTTGGCATTGGTGTGGCAGTAAAGTATAACCACATAATAAACAGCCCATCACGGTCTGCCATGCAGGGATTGTAAAGGTGCTTTAAAGATGACTGATGAGGTGTAAATCAGAGCTCAAGGTGGGCACAACTAAAGATTTTAAGTTCATCTTATTCCCCCAGCTTAACAAAGGAACATACAGAGAACTATAATCTTTGACATCAGCAGCCATGGGTGCGCATATCTGTGGGACTTTTCCTAATTGTAAGCATGCAAAATTACCCCTTGAATACTCCCAGCAATATCGGAGCTGCCATCATGTTGTTCATACATGAAGTGTTTCTGGTAAAGGATGTTGGCCATTTCTCCGCGGGAGAACAGTATATAATTTCAGACGGTGTTTGAAGGACAAAAGAATCCTGTTCGCCTTCCTCCAGTGAACAAGACCAGCATTGTTTGAGATTTGAGGCTGTTTTATAGTATTGGTCATCTAGATTTCCATATTCCCTTTTCACACTGTGAATTTACACTATAGCTGCATTGCTAGCTTACATTTAGGGCTCTTTAGAATTCTGCTCTATTATAGTGCTATGAGCCAATGTCAGTCAGTTCTACAATCTATTGAGAAAATATTGTATATCTTTCTTTTCTCTGCTCGGCACTGATTTATGATTTTTAAGAGCGTAATGTTCAGTTATACAAGTGACATCTGTACAACGACACAACCTTGACACGCAATGTATGAAATTTGTTACATTACAGCAATAATGGAGCCTTTTGTTATTATAATGCTAGTATGGCTAGAGCTCATTCTCTGGGGGAGAACAAATACACCTAATCATCTACACACCACATTAAAGTCTAAACCTACATAGAAATAATGTATGAATGAGCAAAAATGTCCTCTTTTGTTTAATGAACACCTCCAAGGTCACGTATTATTCCAAAGAGGTGAGGAGGTGAGTCACTTCTATGAGTATCCCTCAACAGAAATTATAGCTATTAGACAGTTCATGAATCACAGAGCTACAGGTTTGACCTACACAAGCTGCAAAAAGGAAAAGCATCAAGCAAATAGAAATACACTTTTTGAGGAATTTGTCTTTTTTCAGAGCTGCTGGAAGCTTGTTTCAAGGAAATCCATTATGCTGATCGCTTCTTGACATTAATTTTTCTTAAAACGATAGAACAGTGTGGCTTCTAATCGACTAAATGACTAAGGAGTTACACAACTGAGGACTGTCTCATCGTAAATTGATTACAATTTGCAATTGCTCAGTTTTCTTTGAGATAATAAGTCCAAATGGCATTCCGAGCAGCAGTCTCCTTAGCAATTGAAGTTTGATTTCTTGGCAAAAAGTGGACACTTGATATTGCTCTTTCTTTTTTATAAAAGCATTTAATCAACTCTGAACAGTGCAGAATAATGATATTGCTTGTAGCAGCAGCACAGGCTCAGCCAAAAGAAATAAGCAATCCAGAGGTCAGGCATACATCATAGTCTCACTTCACTTAAAATCATTAGTTCATTTATATTATGGACAGAAGCCTATAGCTGCCCAATGCATCATGTAAAGAACAAAAGTTTTTGCTAAAAAATTATCTTTGTATTGTTCAATTTCAGCTGTCTCAGTGGATCTGTGCTAATTCATTCTATTAATGTAATTGATTAGCTGCTAAAGCTTTCAAATAAAGCTGTCCCTGCCTTTCTTTCTGCAAAAGTGTCCAATTCCTCCGATATAGAAAAGTGCAAGCTGGATTTATCATTTGTAAATTCAAACACTGATGTATAAAAGATCAGTCCTAAGCTAAGGAAATGAAAAACTAACTGACCACCCAAACCTTTCCAACTAATTAGACTCCATAGATCACAGAGGTTGCCTTTTCATAGCACTGCCACGAAATGTTTTAATGCTGGCATTTCCCAAAAGCTGACTCTGAAGGCCTTTACAATACAATCAAATGAATGGCAGAAATCGCCTCATAAAACCGAGCCTTTGTGTGTGCGGAGAGGGCATAATTCTATGATCTATGGCTCAGCTGCAAGTGTGCAGAAACAGCACCAAGCCACACTGATGGGCTGTCATTGTAATTCAGCACCTAATGTGGATAATTAGTCTAAATTCATGGAGTGCTTGATTCCACTGACAGCCACGCCAAATGTTTGACGAAGGCACCAAAGTAGCAGCATCAGTCACAGGCGAGCGGAAATGCATTTAGTGGAGGGCCTCATCATGTTTTATTCAATCACAGAGCGATGCTCAATTAATCAGTTTCTGCAATTAAATTAAACATGTACATGCATAAAACATGAAAGAAATATCAGGGGTGTTTAAGCACTGCGTGGTTCTTGGTGCTCCCAAAAAGAGAGTATTTATTCTCAACACTCTCCAACAGGCTCTGTGCCTGTAGTGATGTGGAATTATGTCTTTTTGCCCCAATGTTAAGAACCCTGCGTGACAGAAAGTGTAAAATCTCATCTTAGTATGCACTACTTGATGCATACCACCATCCAATGCATTTCTATAAATGTCAAGAGCTGTGTGTTTACTAGGTCTGTCTGACCCCTAATATTTATTCAGCTCAACAGCACTCCAGCCAATCATTCCTTATTGCTTCATTGCAGAACTGTGGCTCTTGGTGTGTCAAGTCTCATTGGCTGCAGTTTGCCATATCTCCTGGCACATGTAATATTGCTTTTCGCTTTCCATCAAGTGCAGGCAATGCCGGGCTCAGATAAATAGTGACATTTTGCAGGGGTTTGTGGGGTTTGTTTGTATCTCTTAGTGCCTGAGTCATTTCCATCGCCTGATTTGTATACATAGCACCACAGTCGACACGATCAAAGGTCTTTCACATGTAAGACAAATTTGCATTTTGGATTCATACCACTGCCAACATAATTTATGCCTCTGCGTTTAGATAACAGCTTTCAGATAAATGTTGACATTTGCACCACATTGACTAGCGTGCCTTCAATGAAAAAGAGTTGTTTCTAAATGGATGTAATCCAAGTAGAATCTGTAGGATTGCAGACGGCCTCAGATGCCTCGGATACCTTTCAATTTCCTGGAAACCTTGCTTCACACATAATAAAAACAATAATATAATAACTAATGTGATTTATACAGTACTTTTCAAAACAAAATTAGAAAGTGCCTTACATGACTGGAACCAGGATTAAAAACATTTCAGCAGGCACCAGGCAAAAAATAAAGTCAGGCAATTAAAATCATATAGCTGTGAGGGAGAATAATAATAAAAAAAGAATAAAAGGCCCCCATCAGTAAAAATAAATACTAACAATAAAACAGATAAACAATATTGCACAATGAACCACACTGGGGGAAATAATTCAAACTATTAAAAAACTATTTAAAAGAATAAAATACAGAATGCTGCTTTAGCCTTTAACAGTGGTAATAGTTTCAGCGTGTCATCCATGTATCTGTAACATGGAAAACTCTTACGACATTTAGAAGTTAACTATAAGAGTGCTATAGACATGTGACCAAATAAATAAATAGAATAATGCATCAACATGTAGTCTACTTGATTCAAATAAGATTATATTCATGTTTGACATTTATGTGGTCAGAATAAGTCACCACAGTGCAGCAGCACCTGATTAGTAAGCATCGGTAGCCTTATTGAAATATATTGTCATATATTTGGATTTTTTTTTTTTTTTTTTTTTACACTTTTGTGTTACGAAGTACAGCAATATATTTAAGAGTCAACCAGTTTTCAGTAGGAAGGTCCCTCAGTGGCTCCCAAATCATGTGCATGGCTACAGAGCGCGCTGGCCCTTTAAGAGAGCGCTGTTGGGATAGTGAAGGTAGGCAGAATTAACCAAGAGCAAACCGGAAGCACGGTGAGTGCGCCTTCCAAATACAATACATAGGTACGATCGAGTGTATTAAAAAAATTTTCTTACAGTATACAATACATAATTTCTACATTACGGTACTTTAATATGGAAATATAACTCATTACTGAATCGTAAAGGATACAATTACTGAAGTGTAAAAAATATATAATCAAATTAAAATAATTTACTATATATAACCAGGGCCTGTGAGAATTGTGAAGGTAAAAAAGGAGGCGTATAACATCCTAAATTATGACTTCTAGTTTGCCGTAATTTTTTTTGAAACACATGAACTAGGTATATTATTTTGTCAGATCTGTGCTTAGTCACAAAGACTGTGGTAGTGACTCAATGGATTTCCCATGAATGTGTTATTTATTTATTTATTCACACAAATAAACATTAAATTATTTATTTATTATTTATTCATTAATAAACATTGCAACTCGTCCGTAACTCTCGCTTTTATTGTGAAAGTGGGACCGGAACACCCTATCCCACTGCAGCTGGCTTTACAGCAGTGTGTTGTGGCTCCGGGACCGTGCTGTGTTGTGATGAGGCAGTAGTAACTCATTGCTAGTAGCGGAGCGGAGGAGGGGGACAGAGACAGTGGCCGCAGAAAGAAGAAACTGAGCTCTGTGTTTATCAAAGTGGACTTCTTCCCTCTCAGCGCCATGACTTCCCGCACTTTGGCACTCATTGACTGTCGGAGGGCGCCGTTATGAATATTCCTCCTCTGTGGTATCTAATGTGAAAACGGGATAGTCGCCGCGCGCTGCCTGCCACTCACAGCCGCCTCTCCTCTCATCACCTGCGGCTTGCCTCTCACGGACTGTCCGCGGGGATTGGACGCAGACTTTCGGAGCGGGAGTAAAAAGTTAACTGTGTGGGATGTTCGAACTTGTGACCTCATTCTCCAGCGGCTGACATGCTGCCGGTGGAGTTTGATGCTGTTTGCGGAGATTTCATCCCATAGACTGGAAGTGTTTGGATATACTGTGACTGCTGCTGGACAGCCTGCCTCACTGACTGTGACCAACCCTGTCCACCTATGAAAGATCAGAGTGTATAATGGAGTACCGCCAGACTTTGGTTCCCCTACTGCTCTTATTTGCACTCAGAACTTTGGCATATGGTAAGTTTAAATTGACTGGTTCTTTCGGGTCATGTTCGCACAGATGGAGCCTATGCTTCATATCAGTGGCTCCCAAACTAGGTCTCACTGACTCCCCAGGGCTCTAACGGGGGGTCCCACACAAAAATGAGACCAGCAATTTTAAACATGCAAAGTTTCTTTTTCCTGTCCTCCTTTCCACATAGGACCATTCACGTGAAACTAACATAGGGACCCTTGCATATATGTCAGTGTTGGTCAGTGCAAATGTGTGAGTAATCCTCCTGGATGATGTCATTTTAAAGGCCACTTAAACCAGCAGACATAAGAGCAGCCCATATGCAGCCTCGCTGTGCGTCTTGCCCAAGGGACTTTGGATTCACACCAGCATCTGCTCCCCACAGAAATCTGACTTTGTTGTCTTTCTAGCCTGCTCATTTATCTCTATTATTAGGCCCGTTAGATGAAGGCATAAACTCGGCACAATGCAAATTGTGCAACAGAAGCAGCAGTCAGTTCCCACTCATTGATGCAGTCAGTGTGCTGTAAGTGAGCACGGCAGGGTTGGGAGTTGGAGTTCCTCCTGTGGACAACAATTATAAAAAATGTATGATTTCTCTTTACTGTAATGCGCTTTGGATAAAAGCTTTCACCAGATGCTGCAACTGTTCTTCTATTTCCATCTGATTGCACTCCTGTGTAGATGTGGGATCCCATAGTTGCACTGAGCAGACAAATAATAAATGCAGCAATGGTGGATAAAGATGTATTCTGGAATACAAAGCTCTGTTTCCTTTGGTTTAGCCTTCCCTTAATCCTTCGCTACCAGGGCTGTGTATTGGCAAGAACAAGGCGATATGGCATGTATCACGATACAAGGGTTACGGTTCATTCTATTGCGATGCTGTAAGCATATATTGTGATTTCTATAAAATCAAATTTTAGGAAATCTGCTATCTAGTGGTTCGGGGTTTAACAATCGATGCAGTGCTTTTGAGAAGAAATACGTTATCACAGAAAAAAAAATATAATACTCAAGTGTATTAATATTTTCTTACAACCCTAATAGTGACTGTACTAAGCTGCATATTGGTCTTTTTGTTTAATAGCTTTGTAATGACTCTATATTCAAAGACAGTGCCTATAATGTTAGCTCCTCTCACACTAATCTATGTGGAGAAAATGACACAGCATCACCCAGACTCTCACTTGTAGCCTGAGCCACCTCTGGGATGACTGGATCCACAGATCCCCCATCAATCACATGTGTAACTGGTAATCCGCTACCGGTAGGCTACAGGCTCTTTGTCAGCATACCTACGTCTCTGTGTTCTACACAGACACACCCCCGGCCGTGCTGTACAAAAGCTATTTTTTCCGACGCAAGTGGGACGTTATAGTTTGTGACAGCATGGTGTCTTTGGGCCTGGACCCACTGCTGGGGCTGCCTTTTACAAGCCTGTAAACATTGGCTATGAACCCACAGCATATGAAGTCAGCATCTGTGAAAGTGCTCCTTCAGTGACTCCAGATGCTCCTCTGGGACTACAAAGGCTGGATTAAAGCGACTTATTTTCACTTTAGCAAAACACACAGTGACTTTTAATAAAAAGGCCTGTACTGTTTTTAGCAACTCTTTTTTTATGTGTTAAAATTTACATTTAAATACGCATCCGTGTCACATTCTGACACTGCCATCCAGAGCTTTTTAGATTAAAGGGAGAGTAAGCTTCCGATATTAGGATAAAATGAGCTTTATACTCTATGATAAAAAGAACTTCCTGTCTCCCTTTTCCTTTTCATATCTGAATGCCCCCCCCTCCATGTGGAGTTGGAGTCATGTTTCAGGGGTCTGGTCTTCAGACTGTTTGGCCAGTAAGGTGACACTGGAGTCTGCTCTGTGATTGTCAGTCATCTGTGTCACCATCAGTCAACACAGCAGTCTCCGGCAGCTCTCCCCATCCACCGTCAACGGGCCATGTGTTTGTCATGCTCTCACTGGAGTGACTGGCTTGAAAACAGCTGCCTTGTTGTCTCGTCGTGAATGTCCCCAAACAGACCAGTTACCAGATCAAACAGCACAACTCCATTTCCTTCAGGGACGGAAGTGTGGTTGGGGTGTAATGCGGCTGAAATAGCACAATTATCCAGACATCTCATTGTTCAAAGTGCTTTCTTTGGTTACTGGCAGTTGTTCGTTTTCACATGAGGCATTTAAGACGCTGTCATCCACAGTGACTTACAGTGAGGTTGGGAGGGCTTTAATGGATTAGTCAAGGACAGTTTGTTGCTGGGATTGAAGCTGTGACAGTCCAGTATGGTCTCTTTAAGCTATCAGAAATCTGCCTCCAAACCAATACAATGGAGGTGAATGGACTTTCATTTGTGGCAGGTATTTCCTTAAAAAAGGAATGAAAAAAAAAACAGCATTTCTCGACAGAAACAATGTCCCTGTTATTCTAGATAATCAACATGCCCCAATGCCAGCAGGTTTAATAGGGATTGTGTCTTTGGTAGAAAAAAAAAATGCCACAAAGATGTAAAAATAAATGCCCATTATAATTTCCAAGAGCCGAATGGGACTTCTTCGAGTTGTCTTATCTGACCAGAAATCCTAAACCCAAATATATTTAGTTCACTGTCATGAATCATCACGTAGCCGAGAAATGTGTACTACTGAAACAACAAGACAGATCATCATTTCAACTTTACCGTAGAATGCCTTCATTGTGCAGGACTGTTTCCTGGAAAGACATTATATACTCAGTGTTTACGTGGTGACAGATTTTTCAAAACTGTCTGCATGGCTAAATAAAACCAGAGGTAAGGCAGATATGTATATAGATATGTGTTTTTGTAATTTGGATGAACTAACCCTTTAGTATCTGTGATCCATATCCAGTTTGTTGGTTTACGTATTGAATAATTGATCGGACTGCTCAGGTCATCAGTCGGACGCCTGTGACTCATTATCCACACTGCAATGTAGGGCTGTGCATTGGCAAGAATCTGTCAATACATATCACAATGAGGGTTATGATCCAATATATATAGTGATACTGTCAGCTAGGCAAAATATTGCGATTTTTAAAAACATTTTTTTATCTAATTTTAGGAAAACTTTATTTTATGTAACCAGAACAGTGGGAACCATAACCCTCAGTTTACTGCTGTCCAGCTGTTGGGTGTTCAAACACTAAAATGGTTTAAACACAAAAATTGTTTCTGAGAATCGATACGATATCCCAAAACAAAATATCATGACATGATAGTTTTTTATATTTTCTTACACTCCTACTATAAAGGGTTAACCCAGGGCTAGTTTGTCTTTGTACAACCATGCCATTGTTAGTGGCACTCTGCTGATGTGACTGACTTTTAACAGTGTAACTGTGGATGACTCATAACAGCAGAGCAAGGCAACATACACCAGCTCGTGTTTTTGCTATTGGCATTGATGACATGTCTTTTTAATGCAGAGCAAAAAACAGGAGACAGAGAAGGCTTTGTAGTCAGTTTTTGAGAACAAACACACACTCACACACTGAGTGTACCTTACCCCTCCCCCACCCGCCTTCCCATCTGTTCTTTACAGATCAATTAGGCTGTCAATAGCTCAGCCAGCCTTGGTATGATACATTGAAATCCTCAAAATCACTGAGGTACAAGTGAATCCTAATTCATGCTGACTGAAAAATAACACTCAAAAGGCAGGGCAAGGAACTAAACATCCTCTTCCTGTCATCGCACAATCAGCAGCATTAATCACACGCTGAAATTGCAGTTTAAAGCTTTGTTGCCCATTTCCGGCCTTTTTTTTTTACACAGCTCCTGGCCTGCTAAATTTTAAAATAAGTTTTGAAAAAACTTGGGAGTTGTGCTAAATTTCTGTATTCTTAACACTGATTACCTGTATACATTAACAATGTATATACCCATGATCATTTCACAGACCCAAATATTCATTACACAACAGTTTGACAATGCCTTATGATGCATAAGTAACAAGTTATCTGTTCATTTCACTGTAAATGAGAAAAAAAAAGCCCCATCACTTTCTCTTAACAAATGAAACCGTAGGCTGTTTTCACTCTGTACAACTCCATCTGCCAGCTGAGGGTTGCACTCCCTCTCCTAATGGCAATGCTTAATATCTGCCCTGCACATTCCCGGCACAGAGGGCCAAAATAAACACACAATGGGGCACCAGAGACTTCTCCGTTGACCATCAAAGAAAAGGGACTAAACTGAGCAGGAACTCTATTTAGCAGTGGGTGCTGACAGGACAAGTCAGCTTTCCCCTCTCCTTAAAGGTCTCAAGTGTGACTGCCTGAGGGGCCCCGACACAGTACCGCCTGAGCTCCCCACCTCAGGCTGTAGACAGATGGATGGCCCCCAACATTAGTTCCAGTGGTTTTAGGAGGGCTGACCTCTCCATCACTGGTCATAATGTTGAAATATATTTGGAATGAGGCGAATCCTTCATAGAGTAATAGAGCGCAGGCGGTTGCTGTGCTGCGTATCAGTGTTTAGTGGCTGCATTATCAGCCACTAATTGGACAATACAGGTGGATTGCGTGTTGTTTTGTGTTGCATGAATTGAGATTAGAATTGCTTTGTTCTCCATTTCCTTGCTGTCACTGGCGAAGGATTAAAGTGATTGGAGAAAAAAAAGGCGCGCATAAATTCACACGCTACGTCAAAAACGTCCCCATCAAACTCTCACTGCCACAATCTGCCAACTTCATCTCCAGAGAGGCATCTTTCTTCCCTGCATCCTCTTTGCCCACAAAAATGGGACACATCCGGAATGTCTTCTCAAAGAGGAGAGATGCAGTATAAATGTACTGGGGAAATGTGTGTGTGTGTGTGTATGTTTCATGGTAAAGATATTGGAGAAGGGAGCTGACCTGCACACACCACTATTAACATTATATTACATCATATCTTCAGTTTATAGGGGGATATATTTCGTGATTGTGGTGCGGATAATGTAACGCTTTATGATGCATAATGGGCAA